TTTATTACCAGCTGGGACCCAAGCCTCGACTGGGGGGAGATTAACATGTTTTATACACCTTTGAGGCCAGCAGTTTCTAGGCCCCCCTATGGGATAGAACTACTAAAGCAAGCAAAAGGTACAGAAGTGGAATGTCCTGCTGTTAGAACATTTGTAAAACAATAGTTGATTAATTGTTGTTTCTAAGAGACTCTCTAAGGGGAGGAGTTTTCTAAGCTTCCTCCTTTTGAGTTCATCTAAAGGGCAGGCAAGTGGGTTGTTCAGCAGCAATATGGAATCTGTCTTGCTAACTAGGGTCCTTCACTACAGGGTTGGATAAGCAGGAAACAATTCCAAGCACCATGAAAAAGGTCTCCTGTGTTCTCTTGGCTTGCTTGCCAATTAATGTTATTGGATTCTGGGGTGCTAGAGTCTCCTTTTAGAGGTGATTTCTAGGTCCTTTCTCTCCTGGACAAAGAATTGAACAAAACAAGCACAAACATTGCAAAGTTTCACATTTATCAAAGGTAGGAGAAAAATCAGAAGGGGGAGGTGGGCTCTGCAGAGCAAGTTTGGGCTGAGTGAAAAGGGAGAAAAAAATAAAAATAAAAGTAGACCATACCATCTAAGATAGGGTATCATAAAGAGGCACTATAGTGAGCACTGTCTCTTTTCATGTTTCCCACACTGGTGTCAGGTATAGGCCATCCAATCAAAAACCTACTGCAGTTTCCGTGAGAAGGCCACATGCAAAATTCTGAGAACTCTGGGATCTGGTCACATCTCCTTTCCCAGCCAGTTTTAGTCATGTCTCAGTAACTGTGCCTCATACTAGAGTGTTAGGCATGAAAGATCAAGGTAAGATTGGCTTAAGCCTTTCTTTCACCTACTGAATTGAATGGACAATGTTCTGTCCAAAATTTCTAGTTCCCAAAGGGCATAAATTGCAGCATTATCTCTCAGTCTCTGAATTCTTTTATTTTGCTGTAAATTCTGATATTTCTCCTTGTCTGTCTTGGTAGGTACTCACATGATAAAACCTTGGAAAGAAACTACTCAAGTTAATTTACACACGCACACACACACACACACACACACACACAGACACACACACCACTCCTAATGCCCAAACAGAAGACTTTACCAGTGGTGAAGTTGATGAGATACTTATCCTGAGGCAATGCAAATGAAAGTGTCAGAAATTTTTTTTCCCTCTGTCATTATAATGGTTGAAATTATCCCTGGACAGTGAGTACAGAGAATCAATATTAAGAAGTTAAGCATAGCTGGATATGGGGGGTACAAGCCTGTGATCTCAGTACTAGAGAGGCTGAGGCAGGGGGATTGCTGTGAATTCAAGGCCAGCCTGAACTACAAAGTGAGACCTTGTCTCAAAAAAAAAAAAAAAAAGGTTGGAGAGAAGCTAACCAAGGATGCTAAAAGTACAGAAGTTAAGAGAAACAAAAAAGCAAGAAACCTGTGGAAACTTGAAAGTCCTGGGGAAGAAAATACTCTGGGAAAGAGCTACAGTGAATGCTATATTCAACTATACTAGGGTCTGCTGAGAGTTCAGAAAAGGTGAAGCTAGAAGAGTGACTAATGAATACGGTGATTTGATGAGAACCACCGAATGGAGCCTCAAAAGTAGCAGTACAGGGGCAGGGATTTAGCTCAGTGGTGCTGCCACCTGTCTCTCAAGTGCAAGGCTCTGAGTTCGGCCCCTGGTACCCCAAAAAAGTTGAAGTGGAGCAGAAGTGATGGCAAGGTGAGAAAAATGGAGATTGCGCATGTAGACAGATATATCAGAAAGTTCTGCTGAGAGTGAGGATTCGGAGGGAAATGTGGAAGGAAGGGGATGTTTTTTTGTTTTGCTACTGGGGATCGAAGTCAGGACCTTACACTTTTGAGGTAGGCTGCAGCACCACTCAGCTAAATCCTGGCCCAAGGGGATGTTTTTCGAAAACATTTCTATTCAGATGGGAATGATTCAGTAGTGATGGAGAAACAGATAAAGCAAAAGAGAGAGGGAAGAGAGAAAGGGTAATTACAAAAGCTAAATTGTTTGAAGAAAAGAGAAGTTGGCCTTTGATAGAAGCAACTACACCTTCAGCTGGCAAGAACAAAAACAAAACCTAAGGAAGCAGATTCAGGGGTGGGGATTTGGTGGTGGGAGGAGGAGGGAGTACCTGTCTCACTTCTCTTCAGTCTTCACAAACACAAGCCTTGCTATTGCAAAAGCCTTGTTATGGGAGGCTAGCAAGAGGCCTGAATCTGGGCCCGACCATCTGAATTCCTTCCCCTGCCTGCCACTGAGAGTACCAGAAAGCCCATAACAATGGGCGGAAAATGAGTTTATTCACAATTTGGCCAAAGTGGAAGGGCAGCTAGTCCATCCCCTCTTAAATGCACAGGAGTTCTTCAATTTATAGGAGGGGTAGAACAAGGCCAGGAAATATGCATGTGTAGAGTTAGCCAGGCCTTGGCCCACCAGAGGATCCAGAGAAATGTTGAAAGTCTGGTTTGGTTGAAATTTGTTTAGTGCCAGGACTGGAGGTGGCAATTTTGCTCTCAGAATGAAGGAGCTGAAGAAATAGCTTAGTTCTAAAAATCCTTCTCAACCTCTCTGTTTCAGCATCTTTCATCTTTCTTCTGAGCTATTGTTTGAGAAAAATCCTTTTGAATACGTTTCTTTCCCTCTTCTTCTCAAAGATAAATAAAGCCAGACACTAGCTAAAGCGGTAAGAACAATTTTTTTGTTTGTTTGTTTTTGTCTTTTGGTAGCGGGGCTTGAACTCAGGACCTTGCCCTTGTAAGGCAGGCAGCAGGCACCACTGAGCTAAATCCCTGGCCCCAGTAAGAACAACTTTTAATCAGTAATATACTCCTGCAAGAGAGAAGAAGACTTAGCATCAACTGAATTCAGCTTTGATTTGTACAAACTTGGACATATTGAAGGAAGAATGGAGACGGGAGGGAGGCTTAACTGGAGTCAAGGAAGTGAGAAAGGACAAAGAGCTGCTCAGTGTAAGTGTGATTGGCAGCTGTGTCTGCTGGCTGGCGATGATCAGAGTTGGGATTCTGTCTTCCCAGGGACAGAGGACAGACGTCCTGTACCTCCTGATAAGTACATTTCGGACAAATGGTTCTCAGGTCCTTGGGAAAGATACTTCTGAGTTGTAGGGGACACATCAGGACTGTCTCTCAGAGGGACAAAGGAGTGATTCACAAATGTAAGCTCTTTTTAGCAAATCTTCTGAGAAAAGGTTGCAAGAGGCCTATGTCAGATGTTGACTGGAACAACTAGTAAATTTTTTCGGCAGCCTTGAGCAGGCACTTTAAGGGGATTAGTGTCATTCTAGGGAACTATCAGAAATCATGCCAGTGCTCGTTTAAGACTTAGTGTGAGAGGAAGCATGGATAAAATCATTTGTGCTGAGCTTGTGGTTTTTACAGGCCAAGGTCAAGGCTTCTTTAAGAGGGCTCATAGGGTCTTTGGCTACAGTTTGGCCAGGGACAGACTCTTTGTCACTCTGCATCAACTGGGATCACATCTTTAATGTTTACTAAAAAGATGAAAACTTACATTTGTTTTGTTTGCTTTTTGGCCTTATTCCATCCAAATTAATTTCTCTCCTCTGAAGTCATAGCATCTATTATAATAGTTCTCATACAGGAATTTGTCATGTAGTTTTTCTTGGCAAATTTCTAAAATCTTGTTTCATCTTGTACCCGCTCAGGCATTTGTATATTGGCTACCCCACAAGATCACAATTTCCAACAGGAATGTTGAACCAATGTCTTCAATATCAGTTTACCAGTTATAGGTTCTGTGTGGCACTTGGAAACACGGAAGGTACCTAGGCTCCATTCATTCCAAAAAAAAATTTTTTTTTTTTGGTACTGGGATCAAACTTGGGACCTTGCACTTTCAAGGCAGGCACTGGAACCACTGAGCTAAATCCCCGGCACCATTCCAAAAAATTTTAATGGGTGCTCATTCTACATATTGCATTCTGTTCTGCTAAAGATCCAATTCAAAAAGTTTGCCCAGTTGCCCCTCAGAGTCCTGCCCCTTACTAGACAGAGCTGAGATGTTCATTTATCTTGAAGCTTATTTCTTGGTACCGGGAATCAAAGGTCCTTGAGCTTGCCAGGGAGGCGGGGCACCATTAAACTTTATCCTCAGCTCTGAAGGTTGAACGATATATATAATCCTGCAGAACCTGGCCCTTAAAACAATATGAGGTGTGTTTTTAGCATGCATGCAATTTAGAAGCTTGTTATTCAAGAATCTCTCAAAGGTAATCAATAATAGTCTCATTCTCAGGGTGTGCTAAAAAGTCACACTATAAAACAGGTCATACTCACTAGGGTAGCGCTAATAAAAAAAAGTCAGATAATAAGAAGTATTGTCAGTGGCCCCTGCCAGTAATCTCAGCACTCCAGAGGCTGAGCCAAGATGATGAGTTCAAGGCTGGATTAGGTTACACAACAAGGCTGTGTCCAAAAAATATCGAACCAAACAGTGGGACGATGTGGAGAAACTGGAACCTCTTTACACTGCTAGTGGGAATCTGTTACATGGTACAGACACTTTGGAACACAGTCTAGCAGTTTCTCCAAGTTTAAAGGTGTAGTTACCATATGACTCAGCAATTTTACTTCTAGATTTCGATTCTTGACAGAAATGAGAGCATACATCCATCCATACAAACATTGGTACCTGAATGTTTACAGCAGCATTATTAATAGCCAAAAGTTGTAAACAACTGACATGTCCTTCAGTTCACGAATATATAAATTAAATGTATATTTAAACAATGGAATAAGTTCCAGCAATAAAAAGGAACGAAGTAACTATTCATAGTAGAGCACAGATAAACCTTGAAAGCATTATGCTAAAGGGAAAAAGCCAGACAGAAGACCACACATTGTATGGCTACATTTAACTGAAAAGTCCAGACTAGGCAAATTCCTAGAGACAGAAAGTTCATCAGTTTGCTAGGGAAGGGGTATGAGGATGGGCAGTTTGGGCTGGTAATAGCTAAAGGATTTAAGTTTCTTTTTAAGTTGATGAAAATGCTCTAAAATTCTGATGATAGTTGCACGTATCTGTGAATATACTAAAAATCACTGAATAGTACACTTTAAATAGGTAAATCATTTGGTGTGTGAGTTATATCTCAATAGAACTGTTTTAAAAAGATAAAACCATGAGACTATTTCAACAATTGAGATTTGGGATTGAAGACCTAAACGTTATTATTTCCAGTCCCTGCAGCCAGCAAACTGGTGCTGCGCGGGAGAGCTTCGGTTTTCAGGAGTAAAATACTCCAGCGCCGCACTGCCGCGGTTGGTCGGCGAGGGGCTGCGCCGCGTGTGAGAACGGTTCCGGGTCCGGCCCGGGTCCTGGGAGAGTCCCAGGTGCGGCCCAAACTTGGGGCGCCTCGGGTCACCGCGCGCCCCTCCTCCAGGCCTGAGTCACGGCGCCGCCGGAGTCCCCACGCGGAGATGCTGCGGTGAGCGCGGCCGGACGCCGAGTCGGGCACTCGGCCGCCCTCGGGAAGCTAGGCCCGCAGCCGCGCGCTCCCGGCCGGCCGCCACGTCCGCCTACCCCGCACTGCTCCGGACGCCTCGGCGGGCGGCGGCGGCGGGCGTGCCCTGTGCTCGGAGCTCGCCACGCCTGCCCTCCATGGCGTTTATCCGGAAGAAGCGGCTGGAGCAGCAGCTGCAGCTCTACTCCAAGGAGAGGTGCGCGCCGGGAGGGGAGGGAGGGTGGAAGGAGGAAAGGAGGCCGGCGGCGGGGGGGAGCGGGCCCGGGGGCCGGGGGCCGGGTCGGGCGGGCAGTGGGGCGCCGGCGAGAACTTTAGGAGGGGTCCGGCGTGGGGCCGAGCAAGGAGGCCGGACGGGGAGCGTGACGGGGGCAGACTCGGAGACCGAGGTCAGAGCCCGGGGTCGGGCTCGAAGGCCGAGTTGTGCCAGGAAATGGGGTGCCGGCGTGGGCCTGGGGCGGAGAGGGGCGAGCGTGCTGGGGGCCGGGCCGAGCCGCGGGCCTGGTCGGGGTTGGAGCCCGCCAGGTTGCAAGCGCAGGAGCTGGGCCCCGAGCGGCCTTTCGGCCGAGCCACACCTGCGCCGCGGTCCGGCGGCCCGGCTCTCCCGGAAGGGCGCGGAGCCCCCGGGGACGGTGAGAAGCCGGCTTGGCCTCTCTCTCACACCCCAGACGTCCTCTCCCCGGGCTGGGTGGCCCCTGCCCGCCCTGGGGTTCACGCCGACACCCCACAGCGCTGGACTTTTCCCAAGCCTGCTTCTTCTGACCCAAAGCAAAAGGAGGACCAGCTGCCAGCTCTGAGGAGCGCTGGGAGGAGGGCGGCCAGCAAGGGCTTATGCTGAGATAATGCCACGCTCTCTCCTTGGCTCCCCCAAAGAGTCTGCTCCCCTAGCGGTGTTTGAAGGCTTTGCATTGGAAAGGGCAAGCAGCGTTGAAGCTGTCATTTTCCCCCCGGTGTCCTATGGAGTGTTAGCAGGAGCAAAATGGGCTTACAGCAGTGCCAGCAGTGCCGTTTTGGAGTTTCTGATCCTGTCCTCGAGGGAAAGCTCACTTTGGCATTCCTGGTGGCTGGCTGAAGCAACTTGGGTATCATTAGGTCTGTGGTCTAACTCAGGTGCCAGAAGGAATGTGGACTAAATCATTTTACAAAGTGTTTTGGTTGTGAGAAGTTACAGTAATCTAGTCTGACCTGTTGTCCCAGGAGCTACCAACACAGCAGACTATCTGTGGAATACAAGTGTAGACTTTAATTTGGTGTGATTGTCCAGCATCTGCACCAGTAGGTGTTGACTCAATCTCTTTCATCCTTCCATTTTTTTTTTTGGTACCGGTACCAGGGATCGAACTCGGGTCCTTGCGCTTGCGCAGCAGGCAGCGAAACCACTGAACTAAATCCCCGGTCCCCATCCAAGTACTCCTGACTCTTTCTAATCTGTAATGTTGGTTTGGCTAGGTTGTCCAGTCTGAAGTTTCATTTCTCTCCTGCAGAAAAGAAGATGAACAAAAACCTTATCTTGAATGTGGCTTCCAAAAACTTTTTGGCGGTTTGATGAAGTTTTATTCACGGAAAGACTTGTTTGTTAAATAATTCAGTCATAACTACAATAATTCACACTGGCTACATTTGTAGTGTCTGTTTCATGTGTAAAGGTCATGAGTGGTGTTCAGTACCAACATTAAGACTTGTTAGCGGTCTGTATTAAATAGATGAGCATCCACATTAATATTTAAAACGCTATGAAAGATTTCAATTGCCATCGTGTTCTGTGACCTAAGACTCATTTGTGCCTGTAATTCCAGCTGCCCTGAAAGCTGAGGCAGGAGGATGGCAAGTTCCCAGACAGCCTGGACAGCTTAGTGAGACGGTCTCAGAGGGTTGGCTTTTTTAGGGGTCAGTGGTAGAGCCCCCCTGGGTTCAGTCCACAGTAACACACACACACACACACACACAGTCATTTCTAACAGTTTTGAGGCTTCTCTGATATGTAGAAAAATCTGTTTTCCTTAGATCTGCCTGTTATGTTGATGGAAATAACTTGTTTTTACTTTTGTAGATTATATAGCTCTACAGTGTCAGGAAAGCCACCTGCACTTTTATTTCCATTTATAAGCTGCTCTGTTAATGTCCATTGATCAGACAATGTGACAGGCCAACAGCACCCAGAGATAAGAGTTCTTACAACCAAAACATTTTATCAGGAGGCATCCACTATTCCAGAGCATCAGTAATCAGTAAAAAAAAATGGTGTCATGTGTTTTACATTTATTTGAATTATACTTATTGACTGCTTAAAATTTTTTTTGGTACCGTGTATCCTTGAGCTTGCAAGGCAGGCGGTGGAACCACTGAGCTAAATCCCTGGCCCTTTTTTTTTTTTTTGCCTAAATTTTTTAATACTCTTGGCTATAGCTTTGCAATCATGGGCTGTTGGGCATCCTCTCAGTAAGGTGTTATCCACAGAATATTGATTTGAATTTTAAGAATCTGACCATGAAGTGTGGACTGGAATCAAGCAGTTTTAAAACAAGAATATTTTAAAATGTTAAGGAGCCCCAGATTTGCCATTTCTGCACATATTTTTCTTATCTCTGCAGCAGTAAGCACAAAGGAGTAAAACTGATAGAGGTCTTTGCTGGGGCATCCCCAAGAGAACTTTCTTTGGGAAATTTGAGGAACTGTTTCAGAGGTCACCCATGGGAGGCCCCATGTCTTCATTGTTAACTCATTGGCTCTCTCGTGCTGTTAGGAATTTAGATTTCTACAGCTACCATGGTCCCAGACAAAGAGAAACTTGAAGTTAACATTTATTTCTTATGTCAGTGATGCTGCATTTAGAGTAAGTTGGCATTTCCCTGAAAGTGCAAACAGACTCTTTGGGATATTGTTGCATTGGTGGCTTAGATCAAGGTGGAGGCAGAAGAAACCAAGAAAAGTGGATGATGGCTTCTAGATGATTTTAGGAAGTAGGATTGAAAGGTTTCAGTGCAGTATATTGTATTGAAGAGGCAATCAAGAAGGGATTCCCAACTAGGATTGACAGGTAAAAGATAAGACACCCAGTTAAATTCAGATTTCAGATAAGTAATGAGTAATATTTGGAACATACATATAAATAAAAATTTAGTATAAGTATGTTGTTTATCTAAAATTCAAATTTAACTGGGCATCCTGCCTTTTTATTTGCTAGTCATGACAATCCTACTCACAGGCTTCTGACTGGAATAACTATACTCTACAATGGTGCTATTTATTGGTAATGTTTATGAATAAATGCTTTAGTAATTTTCAGTATTAAAAGCAAAAAAGACAGTTGGTCGTTCAAATCGAATGCGCCAGTATCCTGGCTAAGCTTTAGATGGCAAGAACTGTATCTTTTGGTTATGTTGATACCAAATTTCTTTTACTCAACATTTTTTTAATTAATAGATTTTATTTTTTAGGGCCGTTTTAGATTCACAGCAAAACTGAACGGGAAGGGCAGAGAGTTCCCATATTAACACCCCCACCCCCACCCCCAGGCACACAGCCTGCCCTACCAGCAACACCTGCACCTGGGTGGCACATTAATGAATGAATGAACCTGCATGGTGGAGCACAGAGAAGTTAAGAGGGCTTGGGCTGGCTGTGCTACCTCCGTACTCAACATGTTTTTTTTAATGGAGTCTGTATTCATTGTGAAGGCAGAGTGATTTCATATATTCTTCCTTAATCATTCATTTCTGAGGTAGATTATCCCAGTTTTAGTGAGATATTCCAGGTATTGAAAAAGATAAATTGCAAGAATCAGCATTCACCTAGTCACCAGTGCTGCTGCATTGCAAGAAATCTGCCTAACTTTAAAGAAATAAGGTTCATTTTTCCCATGTTAAAAAAAAAACAGTTGGAGAAGAAATAGATTATGGAAATATTTTCATTAACTTAGAATTTTTATTGGCTTTACCCCAAATGCATACTAGCTTACCTCTGATTCCTTTATTATCTCAAATTAACTTCTTCCTAAATGTCTGCTATTGAGAAGGCTTCAAAATGTACCCGTAAGTGGATTTTGAGTACATTTGCTGTATGATTTGCATTTTAAAAAGTCTTTTAAAATGTGATATAAAAAAGGAATGGCCACCTAAAGAATTAAGTGCTTGGTTTTTTTCTAAATACCATTGTGATTTCATCCTTTATCCATCAGATATTTAGAAGTTTGTCTTATACTTTACAGCTCATAGATTTGAAAATTATCTTTTTGTTGTGTTTTTATTCATTTATTTTTTGTGGTGCTGGAGATCCAACACAGGACTTGCACATGCTAGGCAAGTGTTCTACTACTGAGCTACATCCCAGATTATTTATTTTTGAAGTTAAATTTTATGACTAGCTTATAATTGTTATTTCTTGGTGAAGTGACTCTTTTGTATTAACATATAATGGCCCCTTCTAGAAATGATTTTTTTCTATTTTGTCTGATATTAACATATCAGATTTCTTGTAGATTATCTGCATAATATAGAATGTTCTAGTCTTAACTTTTCTCTGTCCTTAGGGTTTGGATATGTTTCTTGTAAATAGATTATTGTTGAGCTTTTTAAAAAATAATTTATCTTGATAATTTTGTCTCAAATTAGTTCATTTATATTATCACAAATGAATTCATTTCTGCTCTTTTCATTTTGTTCTTTTATTTTGTCTAAGGTATTTTTCCCCCCCTTATCTTTTGGATTGGTCCCCTTGTTCACTTTCATTTTTTCCTGAAGAGTATGGAGGTTGTATATTCTGTTTCTGTTTTTCTAATGCTTACCTTTGAAATTTTAACATATCTTAAGATCATTCTCTTTATCCTCCTCTCTCACAGTGAAAGTACCTTAGAATACCTAACTACCTATTTTCACAGCCTAAATCTTAGTCTGTTATTGGCCAGTTGTCCCCCCCTCCCAACCCATGAAATTGAACCCAGGACCTTAAAACTAAGCCATATTCCTCATCCCTAGTCCTTTTTATTTTTTGAGACATGGTCTTGCTAAGTTCCATAGGCCGCCTGGAACTTGGAGTCTTCGTACCTCAGCCTCTCAAGTATAATCAAGGGATTATAGGTATATGCCAGTATTTCTCATCCGTATTTTAAATTACATATTAAGCATTATGATTGCCTAGTTAATGATCGTGTAGTTTTACATGCTTAGTTACCGTAGTCTTTGTTCAGGAGTCTTTGCATAA